TGGAAGTAAGAAATAAGAAAAATATTTAAAAATATTCAAACGAGAAGGAAACCCACGACTATATAATAATTAACTAATTTTTACTTAGCTATTCGCGAGGGGTTTTAATTCCGAATCATTTATTTACCCTGATTCTTCGGAACCAGCATTGGCACGCCTGCTGGAACGGAACTGGTATGGAACTATTATCGCGACAGCATTGGCAGGGGCGCTAATGCAGATTGGCACAATTAATGGATCGGCATCGACACGAACTGGTACGGTATTGGGCGGTTCGATATTGGTATGTCCTGGTATGAAACTCCGATCCACCTCAGGACGGTTGTGGCTCATTTATTCGGGGGTACTGATTTTCTTTTTCCATGATAATTGGCTGGAGAGGATTATGTCAGTCACTGCAATTATCCCGACGACATGGTTTGACTGTGTGAAATAAGCGACGACGGCCGACTGCATTGGCTTTTGGTAGCTTTCACTGCGGGCCCTGAATTTGCATCGGTGCTGCTGGGTTCGTGAACTGCTATTACCGGGGCAAAAGCCTGGGCTTTGGCGACACTGTCACTTGAAGGAACGCCTATGCCAAACCTATAGCCCTGGTACCGCTGGTACCGAGGGGCTAGCTCCCGTTTCAGGGCCTGGGCGCTGAAAGAAGCGGAGAGATTCGAAGGTAACCGTGCGACAGTTCTCACAAATGGATATAGGGCGACAAACGGGACACCAAGGGGGGGGTGCGCCAGGTGTACCCAGCCCGGGATCGCGACTGAAGGGGAGAAGGTCGACGAGCTGCAGGGAACAGCGTGCCTGACGTACACCACAGCCAGCACAGCGCGTTTCAGCAAGGGGGAACGACGCGCCAGGCAGGCGACAGCGAGAGAGATTGAGACGGATGAGACAGGGGCAGACTCGCACACCAGGTGTACTCAACGCCCTTCGGACTGGATCTGGGATATGTCCGCGCTGGGGGCGATCAACGAGAGAGGAGGAACGAGGAGAGACACTGCGTATGCCCGGTGTACGCAACGCGCAAGCAAAGGGCCTCTTTGACAGCCAGAGAGGGATGAAGAATTGACGTGAGCGGATTCAGCGTGCTTGATGTCCGCAGGCCACGCTCGCGCAAAAGCCCCGGTTAGCAGAGGAAGGCACTGAGCGTGCCTGGAGTGCGTAGCCCGCTGGCATAGAGCCGGTTCATGAGCAGGCACAACGGGCAGAGGGGCGCACCAAGCGGTGCACGGTGCGGCGTCCACAGACTGACGTCTTCCTCCCAACTGACGTCTTCCTCAGATGATTGACCCAACACAGGGGGGGGTGTTTTCCGCGGATTAGAGGGAACGAAAGGGGTGAAAAAGGAAGAAGAGAGTGGACTGCCAGATAGAGAGTGCTCTAGCGGAAAGAGAGCGTGTAATCAGATAGAGAGAGAGAGAACAGGCAGGCTAAGAGAGGGCTTCGCGAGTAAGTTCGGAACGGAGAGAGAAGTGCACAGTATTGGTGGGGGAAAGAGAGATTGAGAAGAAGAGAGATCAAGATGGAGAGAGTTCGAGGAGGGAAGAAGGGAGGAAGGGAAGTTGGCAAACGGGTATGATTCCATCAGTGTAGGAACGAGAGAGAGGGAGAGAGGGGAATAGAGGGAGCAATGGGCTGATACAGCCAGTCTACCGAGCCAGTCCAATTAAGCAAATGGTAGAAACGATTTGGCTCCCTGGTTCGAACTAATTAAGTAATTCTGTTGCGGGCCAGTGTAGCCGGTTTCGGCGAATCAGCCCCATCAAGAACCTCTGCAGCAATGAGGAACGACTATTTTCACTTGTCGGGCTAATCAAAGTACACTTGCGGATCTGTTAAGATTAGCTGAGAATAGCCTGTCCGAGCAGGCTAACCAAAGTACACTTGCAGATCTGTTGAGAATAGCCGCTGTGAGCGAGTCAGCCAAAGTTCCCTTGCAGACCTGACGAGAATAGCCTGAGTGAGCAGGCTAATCGAAGTACACTTGTTGATCTGCTGCGAATAGCCTCTGCGAGTGGACTAACCGAAGTACGTTTGCTGATCTGTCCAGAATACCCTGTGGGAGTGATCAAATTAAGCAAGAGTCCACTGCTGCTGAAGGGAACAGCTGATCTCACAAATCAGTCGAAACAGGCAAAAGTATACCATTGCTGATGGGGGTAACTATTTTCGCTAGTCAGACCCCGACAAATAGTTCTGTTTTTTTTTTATATAGCACAATTGAGTCTTTTATTATGTTTTTTTTTTTTTTTTTTTTTA